GCACATGTCTTCTTCCGTTTAAAAGAAAACAAAAACAAAAATACCAAAACTATATACAAAAGGATCACTTTGTTCCCAGCTCAAAGCCATGGTGGTATTCTAGATCCCATCACTTCATATTTAACATCTTATATTTAAACTTATAGCACTGTGCTTAATACTAGGAATCCAATGACAGGAAAGACAAGGCGGCCAACACCAACATCTTGTCCTTAAGGAACTTAACCTAAGGAGGCTCAGACAAAGTAAGTAGGCCAACGGGGTCCAACGGGAGGCCAAGCTGGGGGAGAAACAAGAGCTGTGGGCTTTGGCAACAACAGACCTTGGCTTGGCAGGCAGCAGAGACAGCTCGACAGTAATGACTCTCAGGACGCGTCTACTGGATCCTCTTCTAGCAGGGCTACTGTATGTTTATCAAGTCATACATGTAAAACCTCAGGGGTGCCATCATCATAAACCATGACACAGCTTTAGAGCAGCTGCTCTGCCTACCGTTCAGTCTTCCTCCTATTCTCATAACTGGCGTGCTCCTGCCTCTGCTGTTTTATTTATTCTGTGCCATCAAAGTAGAAAAACTTCTTGCCAATGCATGCTCTAAAACTTTCTTAAATCTGAACTCCTCCTTGCAATTCTATGACATCTTTCCAACACCTCCCTCCTGGTTTCTCACTCTTTCAGACTCAAAAGCTCAGTATGGACCAGTGGCTGAACTCAGGGCCATTTCATGTTGCCTGTGTGTGTGGCTTTTTAAAAAAAATACAGAGTAAGTGCTTCAGACAGGACATGTTTACAACAGAAAACCAACTACATGAGCACATGGATGGGGACTTTTCATCTATTTATATCTTTAAAGGGGCCCTTGGACACTTCAGAGAATGTTAATAAAAAACTTGAAAGAACTATCACCAAGGGACTAACAGTAAGGATGGAATTTAAATAATTCTAACAATAATGATGACCACTGCTGACATCTACTATGTGCTCACCACATGCAAGGTATGAGGAGGAACTGCTTCCCTGCAGAACCTCTTCTAGTCCCCAGGACAAGGCTGTGAGCTTTGCCATCCCATATTACAGATGATAACATGGGAGACAGAGGGAGCTTAACCGAGGCACATACCAGCAAGCAGCAGGGAAGTGGGGAGTCTTGAACCTGAGTTGACAACAGCCCAGGGTCTCAGTTTCTATCCAGACAGAAGTCATGGAAGGAAGACAGGAAAAGACTTTCTCAAGGCACAGAGCAGATCAGAGCCAGGACAGGAGCAGCTGATGGAGTGAAAGGGCAGAGGAGAAAGGGTGCAATCATCAGGGAGGAAAAGATGGTGAGGCTGAATGAGGAAAGCACAGTACAGTGTACACTACACAAGGCGGGACTCACCTGCTGCCTGACCTGATCCTTTTCCAGCTCCTCTGTATGCCCAGTGTCAGCCCAGGCCCACCAGGCCCCAGTTTTCTTAAGTGGGAAAAAAATTCCTATAACTTTATGCTCTTGTAGGTGAAAACACCTGCAGCAGAGAGTATTCTTAAACCATCTTGGATTAAGTTAGGGCAGAACATTAAACTGCACTCTCTCTGGGAAATTCAAAGGAGAGCTCCAGGATCACTTTTGCTTACCTGCTCTGGCAGCTCATAGTGGTATCAATTTGAATAAGAAACTCCCAGTAGATTAATTTATTACAGCTCTGGGTATGGATGATAGACTCACTGAAAAGGAAAAGACCCAACCTGAGCATGGATGGAACCGACCAAAAGGCCTGCAGTCTGGATGGAATAAAATGGGAAAGAAAAGGGAAGTCTGATTTCTGCTGCTGTTTTGGAGGAGCTCCAGACATCACCATAGCCTTCGGATATCTGTCTCTAGGCTTCCAGCACAGACTCTTTGTCTCGCATGGGACTCTGTGGTGAGTTCCGGGCCTTCAACTTTTGACTGGCCCCTCCAGGTCTCCAGTGCATAGTTAGCCCTTTTACATTCTCCTACACGATTCTGCAGACAGCCATGTAAACCTACCTTATAGATCCTTTATATATACTACATATTCTTTAGATTAAATCTGCTCCTCTAGGGAACCCTAGCTGATACATACACCGACTTTGCACTTGGAATGATTTCACATTCAGGTACCTTCCTTTATATGGGCAGGTTCAGGCTGCACTAGCTGATCACATGCTTCAAGTCATTTTACCTAGATTTATGCCAATCCATCAGGCCTGCCCTCCTGGCTGAGGTTACAGGTTAAGATCCTATAGAAAATTACCAACTAATCCTACAAAAACAGACAACATTCTTGAACTTCATTACCCAACTCTGATATCCTGACTCATCATGGAATTCATTGGTCAATACCATTCCCTGAATGTGAGAATTCAAAAGCTGCACTAGGGAGATCTGATCCTGTGGACAGTATGGGGGCTGTCTATGCCCCAGTTCTTGAGCAAAGCTGAAAAATCTGTTAGGCACCTGGCTCAAACTCCAAGGATCCCACAGCCCAGGAAGGAGTCTTTGATTTATCACATATCATTGAATATTTATTCTGTTCTGGGGTGGGTTAGAAGCAATGAGTAGATCTGACAAAATGCTGGCCCTCTGGAGTGTGCCTATTACAGTATGTGTGTGTGTGTGTGTGTGTGTGTCAGGGCAACAAACAATATAGTAGAAGTACTGTTAAGACTGATCAGGCAAGGCTTAAGGCAGCAAATATCTGAAGTGTGAATGATGGGAAGAAGAGAAAGCCTGGAAAGACAAGCGGAAAGCATATGGCAGTAGAGGAAGCAGCCAAGACAACGCCTTTGGATGGGAATCAGCCTGGCATGTAGGAGGCTGACCAGGAAGCCGGCATGGCTGATACACATGGAAGGGGAAGCAAGGGGGTGGCTGCCCACAAAGGTGCAGGCTGTGTGGGCACGAGAGGTCCATCGAGGAAGCCCGGGAGTTAACGCAGGGCAGGGGATGGTACAACCTATCCTTTTCTTTCATCCATAATTTGATCTAAAATTTTAATACATTCAGAAAATAAAGCAAATTTTCATTTAATTGAAAACTAAAAGAATATGATATTATATAAAAGAATGAAAGTGGGCCCAATTTTATATCATACATAAAAATAAACTCAAAATGAATTTTACAAAGGAAACACATAAGAACTGAAACCATAAAATGCCCAGAAAAAAAAGTGGGAAGAAGAGTCTTAAAATTGGCTTTGGATTTGGATTTCCTGAACTTGAGCCCCAAAGCACAGGCAGCAAGAGCATAAATAAAGGGGAAATAATTTGCAAAAGTGACCTGTAGATGGGTATGTGATTTGCATATCTCATAAAAGTTAGCATTCAAAATATACAAATACTCTTACAACTCAACAGCAAATACAAGACACGATTGAAAAATGAGCAAAGGAGTAAAATAGGCATTTCACCAAAGAATGGCCAACGGATATTTGAAAAGATGTTCAATATCATTAATGAAGCAAATCAAATCCACAATAAATGCCACTTCATTCTCATTGGGAGGGTTATTAAAAAACAAAAAAGATAAATGACATGGAGGAGCGGGAGGCCACGCACACTGCTGGTGGTAAAGTGGCCAGGTGCAGCCACTAAGGAGAAGAGCATGGGTTCTTTAAAGTCACCTTCGTTTTTCATCAATGACTCTGCCTATTCTAAAAACCACTGGATTATAAGGAGACGACAGTGGGTAGATTTTAGAAACATCCACCACACAACCTCCTGTGACTTCAGGCCACTCACCAGCATTGAGCACGAAGACAGAGCAGCAGATGAGTGCAGTGAGGCGGAAGCCGCCCTCCAGCTCAGCCAGGTACCCGCCTAGCATGGGGCCCAGGATGAAGCCTGCGCTCGTGGCTGTGTTGAACCGGCCCAGCGCCATAGGCCGCTCCTTTTCCACCACCAGATCAGACAGCAGAGCCCTAGAGATGGAGAGGGTGTGCTTGAAAATACCTGCAAGGGGACACGGAACATGCTCTGTGACATTTCCCAGGCCAGAGGGGTGTTCCCTGTGATCCCACACCTGGTCTCTGGTGGAGACCTCCATCGTTTTGAAACCCCAAGCCTGCCCAAGTCCCACCCCACCAGAACTAGATTCCTGGCCTAATGCCACAGCTGTGGTAGTTGAGCAATCCACAACACAGCCCCCGATCCCTTGCCTGTGTGCGAGGGTGTTTCTTGTGGGGACATCTGGCTCTTCCAGTCCTCTCGGTTATCTGACTGCTATCATGGTGGCTTCCTTGTGAGTTACCTCTGTCTCTATTCACCTCCTGAGAAAATGTGACTGCATACCTGCTGTGTCCAACACTGATCCCAACACAGACAGCTATTCCTTCTGGGGGACCCACAGAGAGTCTACCTGAAGGTGACAGATGCTACAGAGAAGAACAGAGCATGGAAGGGGGCCAGATGTGAACAGAAAGAGGATGGCGTCTCTTCTAGCCAAATGCCAACTGCTTTCTACTTCTGCAGCAAGAGGCTGGTGGATCTGCTGTCCAACCTGCCTGAGAGCTGTGAGGTGACTTTATCTTCTCCAAGTCTGCAGATGTGTCCGACTCCTACACACTCAACACTCCTGTAGAGCTCCTGAGGGACTCTGAGAGCAGGCTGCCCAGGCTTGATGGACACACAGCAAGGACTTGGGCATTGCGCTGCAAATGACCCAGATCACTGTGAACCGCACCGTGACACAGTACCCTCTGTGGATCCTCCAACAGTGGACTTACTCCACATAGCACCGTGCTGTCCACACACCTTATTCCGAGTTGATTCCCAAGATGCCTAGGATTCACTGTAAGGCACACATGAGCCGGGCAGCCAGCCCTTTCAGAAGCAAACTGACAAGACCCTGTAGGAATGAAACTAACACTAGATGAATTTCCTTACATGTGCCAAAGGACTGGGACAGAAGATGACTCCCAAGACATCTTGCAGGAATTCTCAGATGGGTTCTGACATGTGGACTTAACAATTCCCGGGAGAATTGTGCAGACCACAAAGGCAAGGGGTCTCTTGTCTTCGGGAGGGTGAGAAGGGGAAAATGAGGTATCACATGCAGGCGTATTTGCAGTCAGGACCCAAGGATCTGCATTCACAACTGACCACGGGCACGAGAAGCCTGATGACACCTTGAGTCCCTCCATCCATGGCCATCAAACACTGAGAAGGCCACACTGGTGAGAAAGGATGCTATGTACAGCTCTCCCTGTTGGATGAGATGACAGTGCTGATAAAACAGAGCTATCATCTTTTCAACCAAGCTCTTTTACATTAAACTAAACCACAGTAATCCTCTCCATTAATCTCTAGCCACTGAATAACAAGCCAGGCTCTTTCATCCGTCTTTGGAATGATGAGCAGTGCAGACCACTGGATGGCAGGGTGTGTGATACACTGCCAACTAAAGTGAGGGCACACAGTAAACCCAACACTGATTTCCAAGGAGCAGCTACCGAATGGGACTTGGGTGCGGTGGTAGGTTCATGAGGATTACAGTCCACACTCAAGCCAAGATGTTAGTCAACAAAAAGGTACAGTATGTATTTTGGAGAGAGAACTCAGATGATACTCCGAGTACATATGCACTTCATAGAGGTGGTGGAGCAACTCCAAATGAGCACAGCATCAGCTGTTTGCTAAATGATGTACTTTGTTCCTTCCAGGTGTTAAGCTAGGCCAAGCAGCTAGCTGACCCCCAGCACTGCAGATCTAGGGGTCAGGGCCGCAAAGGCTGCTGCACTCCATCGGGAAAGGTGCAGAAAGAAACCTGGAAATGCCAGGGCTCTGACTGCCAGAAAAGGCCAGGAGGGTAGAAAGCACTTCTGCCATAACCACCCAGTCACCAGACACCACTTTACAAACAGTGACCTGTTTCAAGGAATGCCCAAAATAAAGCAATTCCAAAGGGAGCAATAGTCAAGAGCAGTCTGGAGCAGAAAACCACCCAGACCAGTCTCAACTTAAGTCAGCAGCCAAGGCACAAAGCAAGAAGCTCACTTCACCCAGAGGGGATGGAAACCGTGGGGCTGCCCAAAGACAGCAAGCATTTCTACTCACTGGGCCCAGAGAGCTGGGGTGAAAGAAGCCGGTCAGGTGCAGGCACAGTGCCCACGGGACAGTCTGTGGGGACTCAGACCTGCTTGGTTTGGCTAAGGTGACAGAGCAGTGGCCCAGTGCTCTGCCATCTGCCATTACAGCTGCTGGAGATACAGCTCTTGCTGTCAGCTCACAGGACCGTGTTCTCTGCAGGGGCTCTCCTTGGTGACCAGCGGCAGCAGCAGGGCTGGACTCAAGGGCACAGACAGAGGGCCTGGCTGGGACTCACCCACAGGGACTCGCGCCAGGGCAAACAGGAACACACTGGTGGAGGCTCCAAGCAGGAGATAGCCCAGGGCACTGAGCAGGATGCACAGCAGCAAGGAGCAGCGTCTTCCGACCACATCGCTCCAGCAGCCCTGAGGAGAGGGACACAGGACTACAATGACAGCCACTACCTGGCACAGCCCTGCAGAGAGACCCGGGATTGGTGGGGGCTGGCTTGCTGTCCCCAGGGGCACGGCTCTGCTATGTCATTCACCGGATAGTTATTCACTCTGTCCTCCCACAAGGTGAGTGGGGAATGACCACACTTTTATTGGTCCAAGAAAAGTCTGATGATCCAGCGGCTGGGAATCAGCTGGTGAGAGGGTGCAATATCATCTACAAAGGCTCATTTTTGCCTTCATTCTTCTGTGCAACTATACTTCTCAGATACCACATTCATCATTTAGAAATTGACAAAATATTGAAAAGTGAAATGAAGACTATTAAAAAATTTCATGATCCCAAACTTACATATGGTGTAGTTTGAAGAAAATGGTCATGGGGGAATAAAAAGGATTAAGGCCTGTATATGTGGCTATACCCCAGGGTGAATATATTCATTTTGTACTAACTTTAAAAATTTTTAAAAAGAAAATGGTCATATAGCATTCTATGTTGTAACTCACTTTCTTACTTGACAGTATGATCTGAACACCACATGTCATTAAAAGTTTGCCATTGCTACAATTTTAAATCATGCTATACACTATTAGTAACAAATCTTTTTATTAGATACTTGATTCTTTTTAATTTGTCAAAGACATAAATAATGTTACAATAAGCACCTTCATAGTAAACTATTTGAAAACATCCTTGGAAATATCCTTAGAATAAAGCTCTGGTATTGGGGTTGTTAGGATAAATGAATGGCCTAGTTTTAGGCATTTGATACATATAAATTATTCTTTAAAAAGATCTATATTCCAAATCAGTATAATTAAGAGAGCATCACTATTGTTCCTTGATTTGAAAATGTTTAAAAGCCTTAAATACTACTTGCTAGGGCCAGGCGTGGTAGCACATGCCTGAAATCCCAGTACTCAGAGGCTGAAGCAGGAGGATCACAGTGAGTTCAAGGCCAGCCTGAATTAGGAAACAAGACCCTGTTTCAACAAAACAAAACATAAACAACAACAAAATATAGCTAAGGACTGTTTGGGCCCCGGGGCACAGTCTGAGAGCAGGCAGGGTAAGGTCATAGGTGCTGTGCTGTCTGTGTTGTGCCCTGTGCCAACAGCCGCATCACCCCAGAGCAAGGCATTGTCAGTCCAGGCTTGGAGATGCCTGAGATGCCTCCCTGTTCTCAGGGTCAGCCGAAACACCTTGTCTTGGCTCTAGGCCTTTCCCACCCCACTGGTTCTCTTCCTCACTGGAAGCCACCTGCGCTGCTCATGCTCCTCCCCCTTTGTCCTGACATGTCTGTCTCTCCCTGGAGATCTACGATAAACTGTCATTAACCTTTTTCTTGAAAACGCCCAAAGCCTCCAAAATACTGTCATCCTTACACAAATGTCACCAATCCTAACAGTGGCCTTTGGAAATCTCCCCAACTTTCAAGTCAGGAGTCGCTGATTTCCTGTGCTTCTGAGTGGTGATAATATCATTGGCTGGAACACCCTGGCCCATGCTGGGCTGTCAGCTCCACTCTTGCTGTCCCCTTGCACACCAGGACCTCTACTATACAGATTACCTTCCCTCACTTCAGTGTCTCTACCTGCAAGAACCAATGTTATTGGCCTTGGATTCTTTTCCCTATCAATACCCAGAGTTTAATATAAAGCAGGTCATTAGTATCAGCCCACCTCCCTGAGGCTCATGACTAGGAAAGTTAAATAAAGTGCAGCAAACAGGGCCTGATATACAGTGCATACTTAATAAACATTAGCCATTTTTATGAAAATACTTATATCAAAAACATACATGGTACAACCTTTCTTCATAAACATTTCTTCTCAAAACAGATTTTTATAAAAATTGTCATAATTAAAATATGTACATATAAAAGTATTGGTTAAATAGGAAGTTGGAATTAGCTATCTCTCTATTTGAAGAACTTCTAAGGAGGGTTTTCATTAAATTCCAACTAAATCAAGATCCATGAAATAATGTGCTTTGTAAGCACAATAAGACAAAGGATCAATCTGAAAAAGCATGTAGGGCGAGGGTTGGCAATAAAAATTCACAACTGTAAAATGCTGACCCTGTGCCAGGTGCTCTGATAAGTGCTAGTAACAAATATCAACCACTGATGCCTGGTCCTTATGTCAAGGCGGTCAGAGTCCAGCAGGCCAGGGAGGAGTCCTGTATGACTAACACGCACCCTGGCCTGGATGCTGTTGTCCATGCACACAGCAAGTATACGTGAGTGACTTTCCCAACACAGCAGAGGGTTCAGGGGATCCAGCCCGAGTTCTGCTCCCAAGGGTATGAAATGTTGTAGAGCCTGGTAACGCTAGCTCTGTCGACTGTCTCAGATCATTAAGGTAATGGCAGGTTGCTCTCAGCAAAAATAAGTAACTAAATAACAGATAAATAGCAGAAATGTAGACAGGACAGAGTCTGGACCCTGAAGCCAGTCAAATTATTGAAATTTTGTGATTCTTAATTTCCTACTATAAGAATAGAGATGCCAAACTACACTGCAGGGTTGCTGTAGTTAAATGAGAATAAAACTATATCTTTATGCAAATTTAATACAGGAAATACTTTTTAAAAAAGGATAAATCTAGGTGGGGTGATGAAGCAAGAGGATGGAAAGTTCCAGGCCAGCCTGGAAAAATTAGGTGCTTAGGGAGACTGCCTCAAAAAGGGCAGAAAAAGAAGTAGAAAAAGAAAAGACAAATTGGGGAAGTAGCTATTTACTCATTTAGAAGTTCAATGTAAAATCCTAATTAATTTTCTTAACAAAAAATTTTTTTTACAGTGAAGCCACTCCCAGGAAACATGGGTGCAGAATACTTACATCTCACTAAATGTGAGCACTCCAGGCCAGCTTAACTCAGACCAGTCACCAATGGTCAATCCACGTGACCAAAGTGATAACTACAAAAGCGTCTGGACCGCTGGCCATTAAGATCTCCAGACCAGAGTGGTGGCAGCAGTCAGCAGGAGGAAGAGGGGAGAGGGTGGTTAGGAAGGTTCTGCACTTCTACCCAGGGGACAGTCAAAAGCAGAGTGGCAGGGTCAGCTCTGACCTCTGTCCTCCATGGCAGACACACAGCCAGCCACACACATGGGTTCTCCCCCAACTCCTTCAGTTTCCCAGCGGACAGCATCTAACCTCTTCAGCCTTCTGCCTTTTCTTGGACCAAATGAAAGAATGGGCAATGAGAAGATCCTGTCTGATCTAACTGCACTGCAGGTTCTGATCATCTTTGGTCAATCTCAGGTCCTCCACTACAGCAGCCAGGAAGCATGGTTCCCAGAGATGTAGATCTATGATCTCCAGAAATTGGACAGATGGAGGACGACTTACCACCAATGTGCTGGAGAAGAGCTGCAAAATGCCATAGGACGAGCCTGCCAGAAACAAAAGAAAAAAAGAATAACATCAGCAAAATCAGGTGAACTTGTTATAAAAATGAATCAAAGTGGTAACAATTAATAGAAAAGCGGAAGGACAGGAGTTTTAGAAAAGGAGAAGGAAACTGCCCCCAACTTTTTCCTGATTGGAAGAGTGTAATATAATTTTTAATAGAAAGTCTTCAAAATGAAGCAGAGGATAAATAGAAGGGAGAGTAAAGGTGAGGGTCAAGCTCAGGGGTCCTGAAACAAAGTCCTCCTTCTGTTCTGTGAGAACTGTGTAGCTCCAACACACAAACTCAGGAGTTCAATCTTAGAAAAATTATACTGAATCTTAAAATCGTTTTTTTTTTTTTTTTTTTTTGGTACCAGGGATCAAACTTGGGACCTTGTGCTTGAGAGGCAAGTGGCAGAACCACTGAGCTAAATCCCCGGCCTGAGTCTTAAAATTTTAATACTGACTCATCTCTTAACATTTTACCATTTTACAAAGGATGGTCAAAATACATGGTAAATGTCTAAATTTTTAAAATTTCCTTACAGTAAAAAACACTAGCCAGATATGGTGGTGCACACCTATAATCCTAGCACTCTGGAGGCTGAGGCAGGAGGACTGCTGTGAATTCAAGGCCATCCTGGACTACATATGATACCCTGTCTCAAAAAATCAAAACAAAAACCAAAACCAACAACAAAAAAACCAAAACAAAACAATATATTGCCACAAATCCCCCTCAAAATCCTCCCCTTCTTTGAACACACTTATCTCATTGATTGAGAACTTCTCTCAAGTTCTTGAACCCTTATCTCATTGTTCTAGTCATTTTCTGAGGCAGTTTTGGAAGTTCCGCTTCTTGAATGTCTTTCTGAGGTGTGATCAAAATCATCTACCTGGTTCAGCAGATCAGTCCCTCAAAATCCTCCCCTTCTTTGAACACACTTATCTCATTGATTGAGAACTTCTCTCAAGTTCCTGAACCCTTGTCTCATTGTTCTAGTCATTTTCTGAGGCAGTTTTGGAAGTTCCGCTTCTTTCTGAGGTGTGATCAAAATCATCTACCTTGTTCAGCAGATCACGCACTGTGCAGCTTCTGGCTCTTTCCCAAAGTCAAAGTGACCATGAAAGGTAAATATTTTTTAATCCATTCAGGTCATCAAGGCAGTCAAGATAGCATAACTAAAGGCATTCACAAAAGAGGACTTCCAGAACTGCTACAGAAAGTGGTAAGAATAATGGGATAAATGTGTTAAACATTCACTTTATTTTTGATCACTCTACATATAATTATGTGATTTAATAAAGAAAGCACAAAGTTTTACAGAATTCTGGTACCTTCCTTATCATGTAATAACATGTCCTGTTGCTTTTCCTAGAAATCTTCATGCTGCTCATAGTCTAGTATAATTCAAAATACATTTCTCAGAGGATTATCAATCCTGGCATGGACTTGGATTTCACAAAGGCAATGCACAAAACCATTCCAGAACATCTACTTGTCCAGCTTGTGAATAATCAAGCACCATTAGTCCTGAGGGTTTCCTCACTAATTAGCATACTCCTAAACCCTAACCCCTGCTTGGGTTGTAAACTGATGAATTTCAGCTGGAAACCCAGAGGTACCAACAGTTCTCAAGATGTGCTGCTCGTGGTGTGGGAAGCTGGTGACTGATTTGCCAGCTCAGCCCAAGCTTTCCCAGCAGGTGTGAGCTCTGCAGTCTAAGTTCCTAGTGTCCACCCTCAGGTAACCTGTTCCCACAGGCAAAGGCCATCCCTGCCCTCCGGCATGCAGAGACAGCCCCCTGGGGAAACAGTCAGTCCCGGTCGGTGGCATCAGTGCTTGTAACAGTTGTGCGGATAACACATTTTCAAGCCCAAAACCTTTTTGAATAGGGCAGTCCAGAGCAGACAAATCACATTTGCTCCAGGATAGTATTTAGAAAGATTTTAGAAATTCATTTTATCTTGTTTCCCACTTGCCTTTGGACATCATTTAGCAATAAAGGCTGAGTTGTTTGAGGGTGTTTAAAATTCAGTGCTCTGCAACTGATCAGAGTTGCCCACTCACCTATGATGCCAGCCACAGTAGGACTTGCTCCAAGTGACCTGGCATGAAGGCCCAATAAAGGGATGACCATGCTGACCCCAAACAAATCCTAAGAGGAAACAAACAAGGATGACTTGTGTTAGAAACTATGGCTTGAAAATTTTAAAGTGGTGGTCCTGAAATTATAAATCGACTTCATAAATAAAGCCAGTTTCTAATCTCCTCAGCAAATAAGAAATTGAATTGTATTCCAGAGTAGGCTGTCTTTATCTGGATAAGGCCAGGATGGGGACTCCAAAAGAAATGTGCCGTGACAGGCACCATGTGTAAATGCCTGGATTACCTGACCCAGGATCAATTTCATCTTTAGCTTCTTTGTAACTGAGCCTTAAGATTGAACATAGGTGATCAACACAAGTTCCTCACATAAAAACAAAAGTCAAATAAACAAAAAACCCAGATGCTGAAGTAAAAAAGGAGGGCAGGACAGCCCATATTGATTGGTGAAACAGCACTTGCTTAAAGATAATAATTTCCTTCTGGACTTAGACAAGGCAGCTACCATGCTAGAACCTGCAGTTGATAGTCTCCAAGGTACCATCTGAGAAGAAAGTCTCAGGAAAGTAACAAGGAGAGGGCACCTAGGCACTGGGTGTGCTCCCCAGGGGAGGAAATGTTTTACAAACAAGTCAGAGAAAGTGCTTGGGTGGCTTTGGGTCAGACAGACCATCTCCACAGCAGCTCCACCACTTAATGTGTTCTTGGTGGAGGTTTCAGGGTCACCATGGCCCGACACAGTCATCTGTAAAGAAGAGGTCTAATAACACCTGCCCGGTGAACCATGATGCCCACTGAGTGACACTATGGCTAAGTTAGCCTGGCACACAGGGAAGCCCAAACATCTCTCTCCTGTCTTCCATCCTGAGGTTAAGAAAGGATTCTGTTGGAAAGTATCCTGAGCTCCTAAGAAGACTTAGTTTTCCCTTTATGTTTCATTCTTGTCCTTACCTCGCTTGGTTACCTGCTACAGCTGGCCAAGGGGAAGAAAGAGATACCTACACATACAGCTTTTCTTATATTGACTAAATGTGACTGAACTGAATGAAAGAGCATGCATGTAAATAACGTTTCTTAGGCCCAAAGTGAAGCTTTTGTTTCCTCATCCATCCTGTGTATTCACATAATACAAAATCAGTGTCACCTGATTCTGTGTGCCAGAAATTTGGTGAAAAACACTTTCTTCATGATCTTAACTATTAATCCAACAGAGAGCCCTTATGGACCGCTGTACACCCTGCTGGAGGGAGGAAATGGAACTAGCCTCTCTGTGCCCCTCCTACCTACCGACTCTTAATTCTAGGGAATGGAAAAACAAAGGAGGAGCGGAGGACCTGGAAACGGTGCCAGCTGACAGCTCATCCAACCAGCTCCCTTCGCCCGAAGAGGAAATGCTGCAGGACGCCCCTTCCAGTTCTGTCCTACCTTGGGTGAGCTTATACCTTGGGGTTGCTGAACAACACGAGGCGGGGGGAGGTGAGGAGTGAAGAGGCTCAGGCCCCTGAAGGTGATGGCCAGGACACAAGCTTACTAGTAAGTTTGCCGCATCTCCGCTAGCAGGAGCTGTGTATTTCAATACTGTACTGCAGAGCGTCTGTCACAAGACAGGCACCCGACCTCCCAGGAGTATTTGAGTAATGGATGCATGCATGGATGGCTGACTTTCCCTGTGATACACTTAGCTTTCCAGTCCATGTTGTAAATAATTTCTTCTGGAGTGAATCAGGGGACACACAGACCACACACACACACACACACACACACACACACACACACGCACGCACGCACAGGCCATAATGAAACGGAACCGGAACCTGTGTCGTGCAATATATAAACACTGGGTGGAAAAGCGGATGTGCACAGTTCACATCAAGCCAGCCAGTAAATCTAATGAGAAAGCGCTGCTGCTCAGGTGTGGCGCTCCACAGCCACCTCACCTACCTTGGTAAGGACAGAGACTACGCCCAGCACCAGCAGCCACCACTCGGATGAACACCTGGGGAGCCCCGGGGCGTGGCTAGGGCCAGCTGAGAAAGGGGTGAAGGTGAAGGCAAGAAGGGGCTCGAGAGGCCGGCTGGGCTTGCAAGACCCGGAG